TTTAGAAATAAAAATAAAAAGAAAATTAAAATAAATGTTTTAATATATTATTAATTAAAAAAATATATTTTTAAAAATATCCTACCCTACATCAAAAAACAATATTATTTCACTAAAATTTAGAGTTTGTTTTTGGTTATTTTTTAAAATATTTTTATTTAAAAATATATTAAAATAAAATATTTTTATATTTAATATTAACAAATTAAAATTAGTTAAAAGCATAAAAAATATTAATTTAAAATAAAAAATAAAAAATTAAATATTTTTAAAATATTAAAACTGATCATAATGTTAAAAAAAACGGTAACTATCGCGTTGCGACAACGAAACGAGCAACATGTGTGCTTATCCGATACGTAACCATCCATTTCATTTTTCAAACCGTATACAGTAAAAGAAAAGCAATAAAAGATGTTTGCCTTTTATCAAAATTGAAGTGACGCGCCACACGTCATCAAACGCTAATAATAATAATAATAATTCCCCTGTTTGCCATTTTTTACTGCACAGTAAAGCAATCACTCCTTTCTCGTTTTAACCCTTCCAATATGGCAAGTTGGCAACTGCAGAGCATCGCTACCCGATTTGATCATTTAAAACACGTGTCACTATATTATGAGCGATTAGCTTCTTCTTATACTCTAGAGCGTATAACGGCCTGGGGTAGCTGGCACATGTCTATAAAAGCTGAAATCCATACCCCCCGAAGCTCAACCAAAACACAAACCAAACAAACCCCTCCTCTCTCCAGAAAAAATCTCCCCCCCCCTCTCTCTAGAAGTTTCACCTTCTCTCTCTATAATCATCTTCCCTTTTGGCTTTCTCGACTTTCTCGATCTGTTCAGGACAGAATCATAATATTAGGTTTCGAAAATCTCCCTCAATTTCTGTCGATCAAGTTCTGCAAGAAAGGCAGAGACTCGGAAGAGGGGTGTAATCGGAGAAGGGATTCTGCATGAGCTGGTTGGGAAAGCTGGGTTATTGTTTCGCTTCGTCCAATTCCAACCATTTCATAACGTGTCTTTTGATATTTATTCTCCATTATTCACCTCAATCATCTCCTTCTCTTTTTAAATTCCAAAACAAATCCACTGAACCTTTATTATCACAACCCCTTATAAGTAATAATCTTATTTTTTTCATTTTGAATCCCATTAATTCTGATTTTAATTCCACTCCCTCATCATCATCATCTTTTAACGATCATGGTTTCGGAATTGAAGAGTAATTGCCCTCAGTTGCGTAGAGGTACGTCCTTCCTTTTTTTTACCTTCATAATTCTTTCTTTCTTTTTTTAATTATGGTTAGCTGAAAATTTGTCGGTGCCAGTATTTTTCTCATCCTTTTCAATATATTTTTTTTGTGGCCCTAATTTTCGAAAGTGACATCACAGTAACCCCATGGGGCCCACATATATATCAGTGCACGTGTTTTGTTCTGCATTTGCATGTGTTTGGGACGAATGATTTAGGGGTGGTTGTCATTAAACGTTAATCTATTTTTCGTTAAAATTTAATTTTTTAAAATTATTTCTTTTATATTTTAAAAAAATTTATTTAAATTATTTTGATGTTATAGTTTAAACAATAAAAATATATTATTTTAATGTATTTGGAAATTAAAAAAAACTTTCAAAAATAATTTCACAACGTTTGTTTGGTGCTAGTAGTGTGGCTATACAGTATCTTTTTTTAAAAAAAACAATTGTTTTAATTTTTTTTGAAACTAATCTTTACCCCTTCTTTGCTAATTAATCAGCTTTACCTATTACTTTGGCAATGTTTAAGTACTATTAAGATCTGAGGAATGATTAATTAATGACTAATTTTTGTTTTTTTTTTTTGGGATTAATGTAATGCAATGGGAACAGGTCTATGTTATTCTAATGAGGGGAGGGGGCAAGCAACAAGATCACCTTCAGTTATAGTGATAGGCGGTGGAATTGCCGGAGTGGCGGCAGCACGTGCTTTGCATGATGCTTCAATCCAGGTTGTCTTGTTAGAATCAAGAGACAGGCTTGGTGGTCGTGTTCATACTGATTTCTCTTTTGGTTTTCCTGTCGACCTTGGTGCATCATGGTAATACTTTTTTTTTAAAGATTTTTTTAATTAATTTTAGTATTCAGAAATTAAATAATGGGAATGATTGTGGTTCCAGGTTGCATGGGGTGTGCAAAGAGAATCCTTTGGCACCATTGATTGGGAGGTTAGGACTGCCCTTGTACCGTACTAGTGGTGATAACTCCGTCTTGTATGACCATGATCTTGAAAGGTAATTGATTGATTGCTGATTTAAACATGTATTTGTTGCTTTTATTTTGCATTTGTTGTGTAGGATGTTTCCAAAGTTCCTTTCATGAATTAAAACAGCATGCATGACCCCGATTCTTGAGCATCATTTAGTCTTGAATCATGATTTCTTTTTCTCCTTAAAGTTTGTGATGTAGAAAGATAATTTAGATGTTATGTGTCTCCCAAGTTTCCATCTGCTGGTAGAGGTTTTTGTGTGTGGCTGTGTCCGGTTAAAGAGAAGTCAGTGGTTGGGTTAAGTTTCAAACTTTATTTGTATTTTTTGTTCTTTTTGGGCATTTTCTCAATTTATAGTTACATTTTCCTCAAGTTTTCTCTTTGCCACTACTTTGAATACCGTGTTGGGGTTTTTTTTTTCCGTTTAATTTTATCTTTCTTGTGCAGCTATGCACTCTATGATATGGATGGGAATCAAGTTCCACAAGAATTGGTCACCAAAGTTGGCGAAGCATTTGAGATCATTTTAAAGGAGGCACGCATTCTTTCTTTTCTATTTCTGTATACCTCTTCCTTTTTACACTTCCTAGTATTATAACATCACAAGATTTTGTTAGTTTAATCAATCTTTTTCTCTGACTGAAGCCTATTGTACCTTGAGTTTCTTAATTGATCTTTGGAGGTTTTTCTAGCATAGAAACCTTGAAGAGGATGGTTTTCTTTGCGACTGTGAAAATATTTCCGTCGCTTCAACACAAGCCCATTCTGTTTGTTTCATGGGGGTTTCTGAGTTGCTGTTCCTCTTCTTGAATGCAGACAGATAAAGTAAGACTCGAAAACAATGAAGACATGTCTATACTCCGTGCTTTCTCAATTGTTTTTGAAAGACGACCAGATTTAAGGTCATATTCTCATAATAACATATTGAAATAGTAAACTGCATGTTTGTTGAACAAAAAATTTTGGTTTAATAAAGTTGATTTTGATGTACAGGTTGGAGGGTCTTGCCCACAAGGTGCTTCAGTGGTATTTATGCAGAATGGAAGGATGGTTTGCTGCTGATTCTGAGACAATATCACTTAAAGGCTGGGATCAGGTAAGTTTTCACTTATTGACAATGTCATTATTCAGAAACCCAAGCATCTTCACTAGCATTTGCTTTCCAGGCTAGAATTAGAACTGATCTTCTATTTGCTGTTAGTAGAGTTTACCCTTAAGATGTCTTGACACACTAGTGTTTGCATCATCTTTTGTAGGAAGAACTGCTCCCTGGTGGGCATGGGCTTATGGTCAGGGGCTACCTTCCTGTCATTAACACTCTTGCCAAAGGCCTCGACATCCGCTTGGGCCACAGGTATGTTATTTCTTGCTTTTCCTATGTCATGCTTGAGCTCGTGCACGCTTACAAGTTCAACACACCCACTTGTTTATGTCTAGCAATTACAATTCATCGCTGTTATTTTTTAGGGTGACAAAAATAGTGAGGCATTATAATGGAGTAAAGGTAACAGTGGAAGATGGAAGAACATTTATGGCCGATGCTGCTGTTGTTGCCATTCCTCTTGGCGTGCTGAAATCTAAGACCATAATGTTTGAACCAAAACTTCCAGACTGGAAGGAAGAAGCCATCAAGGACCTTGGAGTGGGAATTGAGAATAAGATTGTTTTGAACTTCGAACAGGTGTTCTGGCCAAAAGTAGAGTTCTTGGGTGTGGTTGCAGAGACATCTTATGGATGCAGCTACTTCCTGAATCTTCACAAGGCAACTGGCCACCCTGTCCTTGTTTATATGCCTGCTGGGAAGCTTGCCAGAGACATTGAGAAAATGTCTGATGAGGCTGCTGCTAATTTTGCTTTTTTGCAACTTAAGAAGATCCTTCCTGATGCTTCTGCACCGGTAATCTGAGTTCCATAAACTTGAACTTATTGTTCATTGAAGTCATGAAATTTTCTTGAGCATTTGAACTAGCTTTCCTTGGGCTTGCTATGGAACTCATGACACGATGTTAATTTTTCAAAAATTATGCAGATTCAGTATCTTGTTTCTCGGTGGGGCTCAGATATCAACTCACTTGGTTCCTATAGCTATGATACAGTAGGCAAACCCCATGAACTGTATGAGAGGTTGAGGATCCCTGTAGATAACCTATTCTTTGCTGGTGAGGCAACAAGTGTGAGCTACCCAGGGTCAGTGCATGGTGCATTCTCAACTGGATTGATGGCCGCAGAAGATTGCAGGATGCGTGTTCTGGAGCGTTATGGAGAGTTGGACTTGTTTCAGCCAGTCATGGGTACCGAGGAGGCGCCAGTGTCTGTCCCGCTCTTGATCTCACGAATGTAACTCTTTTGCTGCCCCGCTTTCGCGGATGCAATAATTCAGATGTAGATGTGTTAACACGGGAACTGGCTAGCATATCATCACTGTCTCGATTGAGCTGTTCGAGAAATGCCGTGGAAATTAAATCTGTCATCCTTGATTGGTTTTATTGGCGTGTCGCCCCCTTCGATGTATACATACTGTTATTGGGCAAGCACAAAAAAATAATAGTCAGTCTAGCCCTGTTGTTGAGTGGCACCTGCCTTGTGTAAGTTATCTGTACGAGAATGCTGTGTCATGTTCTTCCCCCTTTCTTGGTTGGAAGGCACTAAGTTTGCATAATTATTTAAAAAAAAGAGTTGGCTTTTATCTCTATCTCGCTCCCTCGATCCATGGATGTCTGTCCACTTGTAGTTGCGTAACACTTTTCACCCGTTTTTTCTCCTCCATTTGTTGTTATTACAAGATAATGTCATGAATAAATTTTGTCTTCGTTCTTTCGAAGTCCCTGGTGAGGAGAAGACAGATACTGCTGTGCCCTCTTTGAGTGGCGGGCGTGGCTACGGTGTAAAGAGGGCAGGGAAAGCAATACCATGAGATTGCAGTCCTCGTGGACAATGACGTCAAGCGCACCTAATTATTCCCTAACAACCGTGTCCAATAACCTTTATTATATGTGCAATTTTGATTTTAAACAAGCACTGACTTGAAGGCATGTAATCGAAGAGGATGCATATTGCCAAAAACAAAAAGAAAAAAGGTGCATGGCTTGCATCAGAGTGAGTGGCCAGCTCGGCGTTGCTCCCTTCACAACCCATTTTCTAATGTCTTTCTTGCTATTCATGAAAGAGTTGCTATATTCTCGAACAACTTCGTTGTATAAAGATTGTTTTGGGCAAATGTATTATTAAGGAAAGAAACTTGAACACGAGGAATCATGCTCAAGACAATGATTCTAGTCAATCCACCAAAACTTTCTTGAAAAGCGATGCGCTTTTGTAGAGATCCGGGCTCCCTTTTGACGTGGAAAACAACAATGGATTTGGTTCCACTTGAGGATGATGGAAATTCAATGTTAAGATGTAAAGAACTTAGTTAGAAAATTAATCAGCTCCATGCACAGACAGTAAATGGAAAACTAGATGCACAGAGAGAGAATAGAAAGGGAGAAACAGAAAATGTTCTTTCTCTGCCGACCAATTTCAAAGGCAGGAGTCATCGCCCTCAGGAACGTAGAGATACGTCCTTACTTTTTTAACCTTCAAATTCCACTATTTTTTATATTTTCTTAATTTTATTTGGTTATTACAATTACAAAGGAAATCAAAATTACTCAGCGCAGCCCGTGGTAATTTTTTTTTATTTTTAACATTAATAAAAACATGGAAAACATGAAAGGTGAAACTTGAAAGAATCGTGACAAACACCCCGGTACACTCGTACAATGTTGTCTTTTCTTTGCTTTTGTTGCCTGACGACGTGGAAGAATGGAAACCATATTTTGTTTCCCTTTTTGCCCCTATCTCTCCTGCTGACAGCAACCATTGCGGTGTTTCTATTTATCTTTCCCGTCTTCAGTCCACCTCAGCGACACCTCTCTCTCTCTTCCCGATGATCGATACTTCTCGTTTTATTCGTGTTTTAATTTACTCATGAAGAGTCTTGTCGCCTCTTTCCTTCTATCTTTCATAGACTTGCACAGCTGTTAGGCTGAGTAAGAATTATCATCTTCCTTCGTAGCTCTGCACTTTAAGCTTGCTCAAACAAGCAAGGTACTTCAATAATTTCCCATCATTTTTTGGCTCCTCAGTTGAATGCATTGGCTACATTCAGTTCAGGAAATCTGGTTTTTGTGGACTAGCTAAATTAACTTTGCTTTTGAAGAACAATCTTGGATGCTTGCATGTAATCATCTGGGTATCTTCAATTAGCTTAATTTCTCACTGATGTTGCAGATTTTTTTGTTTGATCCACTGTGCCAAAGTTAATAACAATGCAAAATAAAATAAAATAAAATCATGAGCTACATATTCCTTTTTTATGTTAAAAAATTTAGTCCGACCGTAACTTGGGCTAGCTATATATGATAATACCAAGGAGCATGAGGTATCATCATGGGCTTGTTTCACGGGATAAACTGTGTGTGAATGTCCGCCACAAGGAACTACGTGCTGTTCTCTTATTTTTTTCTGGGAAGGAAGTAAACCGACTATAATGTAGTGCTGATATATATATATATATATATATATATATAGTAGAGATAGTAATCTAACGCTTCTTGAATAATATGGAGGTCCATGCAGCAATCATCACACAGTCAAATGGTAAATAATAAATTGGCAATGCTGGTCCAGTTCATGACTTACTTTGAAGCCTCAAGAGGATGAGACCTTAACCATGGCTAAGGAATCCATGAATCTAGCTCGAAAAGTAAAGGTTCAGAATGTGGTTAATTGTTTTTTTTTTTTAAAAAAAAAGGCAATTGGTAATTCATTATATACGGGGCATATGTTAACGTGGATTAGAGCAATCATTTTACTATTATAAAACACAAAATTGATTAACTATCTCTTAGGAGCAATATAATTTTTTCTATAATATCATTTGTCATTGTCAAATGTATTTGAAGGCAAAACACCACCTTCCATGATGGTTTTAGAAGCATCACAAGGCTTTCTTTTTAGAGGTCATACGTGTCTGTATAGTAACAAAGTGAATGGACTCTGTTAAATTTTTCTCTCTCTCCCTCCATCTCTTCTCATCTTGGGTCACTCTTAACCCCTCAAGAAATTAAATGTATTCTTTAAATTTGTATTTATATTTGAATTAATTTTGGTTTTTTTTGTTATTTTTTTAATATTTTTTGAAGTTGTTTTTTTTTCAATTTTTTTTCAATTTTATTTCATTTAATTTTTTTATCCAATTTGATTTTCATTCTTTTAATTGTTGGCTTTTTTTTTTTATCATTCTCTTGGTTTTTTAGTTCCATTCTTCAACATTTTGTTTCATTTATTTTTTTATCAAATCTAATTCTCATTATTGCTATTTTTTTTCATTGATTTATTTTAATTTTCAATTTAGTCTCTCATTATTTTATTTCATTTAGTTTTTATAATAAATTTGGTATTCATTCTCATAATTGCTATTTATTTTGTTTTTTAATTTTGAATGATTAGGAATTTTACTGCATTATTTTTTTATATATATCTTCAACAGGGTAATTCTAGTCTCATGATTTAAGTTATGAATTCTAAAGGTTAGCTAAATTTAACTTTAATTTTTTTAATTTTATTCTTTAACATTAAATTATTGGGACTTGAGCTTCATGATTTTTTTCATTATGTGTGGTTATCCTAATCTTATATCACGAGTCGTGAGTTTGTTGATTTAACTCAAGTTGACTTGAGTTTTTTATTTTTTTAATTAATTTTTTCAATTTCACCTTTCATGATTTAGTTTGCTTAAAAGTTAACTTTTATTGTTTTATTTAATTTTTTTGTATGACATTATTCTAGTCTAATGAATGTGTTATGAGTTTGGCATGCTTAAGTTAGCTTTTTTAATCTTTTTTTCTAAATTGATTTTTTTTATAGTTCTTCCTTTAAACGTTTGATTTGTTGATGATTGAGTTTCAAAATTTTTCTTTATTTATTTTCTTATGAGATTATTCCATTTTTGTTTTTATGTGGAAGAAGATCTTTTTAGACTTTCTAAGAATATTTAGATGTTATCTTTTAATAGTATTGACAACCATTTATTTTTCTCAATTAGTCATTAGTTTTTTTTTATTGTTGTTTTTTAATCATATTATTAAATTAACCTAGATTATTGAACTCATTTGAATCAAATAACCCAAGTCATAGATTTTTCCTTCTCTTTTAAAAACTCTATAATCATGTGGACATCTTTTTTATATTAGAAAAGATTTAACTCATTCCAAAAAAGAGAAAGGGTTTATCCAACTATATTCTTTATTAAGTCTATATCCGTCAATGGGTTGGACTGGACTCATGATACTTTAAAATAACTTAAATTTTAAAAAATTAGAAAACTATAGTATTTTTGAGAACAAATCATATGTAGAATTGAATCTAGTTTCATATATGATTTGAATTAAATTGATAATTTATTATAATTTTTGTATTTAAAATTAACTTTTAAGTCACATAATTGAACCCAATTCTACTTTTTAGAATACATGTGAAAATAAATTGAATTAATAATATTGATTATTTTTCTTTTAATTCAAAAATAAAATTGATATGAAAACTGCAGCATGGATAACACATGGAGTGAAGTTGAAATAAAATAATAATAATAATTCTGTATGATTTCATGTGCCATGAGAAAATTTTGTCATGGAAACAGCAACTTTGGAGCTATTTATAAATTATTTTGTGGTAAAAGGTCGTAAAGGTGGAATAATTTCCATGAAAAAAAAAAACTCCTGAACAAAAAAACAAGGCGTCCTCTAGCATGATGACTACAAAATGAAAGGAGCCCATGGATTTGATTCCAGTATCCATCTTCCACAAGGAACTCAAAAGCAGACCCTAATGAGTCGAGCATGCAGACTCCAAGCAAACCAATAGTCACATTATATTTGTGCAATTCGGGGCTAAATTGTGCAGTGAAGCATTTGCAGGCTAAAAGTCCACATCGCAAGCATTGTTGTTAAGGATATTTTTACTGTCAAATTACTCTAACAAATAAATTCTATTTAGAATTCAAATCAACACCTCTCTAGAGAATTTAAAGCTACAAAATTGATTATTGGAATTAAATTCATCTCCAAGAACTCTAAAACAAAATAGAAAAGGTGGGAATCGATTGAAATGTCATTAGATGGCCTCCACCAAGCCAGAGAAATCTTCATTTGCTGATTTCTTCAAACGTTCAGCTGCATTCTGAACCTGTAAACGCATTTTTTTAACAATGATGGCAACGAATCCCAATTCTATCCAAGATAGAAAGAAGGCAAGTGACACAAGGTGGATTAAGTTACCTCAGTATCCCAATTTGTTCTGGCAGTAAGAATAATTAAAGTTATTGTTTGCAAGAGAACTCCAGCGATCATCCCCCACCAGATCCCCTGAAAGAAAGTTAATATTGGTTCATCTGAATTCTTTTCTATCAGCAAAGTTACAGGAAATCAAGCACTGGACTTAGTCCACTGCCCTCTCTCTTTTAACAAAAAGTTCCCAGGATCAAATTAATACAGAGAAGAAAAAAGTTGCAGTAAGAAGCTACGCATGGAAGATAAACTTACAGCAACTCCTAAGCTGGTTTTGAAGCCAAGGACACATCCAATTGGGAGACCAATTACATAATAAGTGGCCAGGTTAACGTAAGCTACAGTAGCTTGCCATCCACTCCCAATGGCCACACCTGAAACTCAACAAGGAAATGATTATTCTGCTAGATCTTCTAGTTATAGCCTATAAGTGAACTTGATGTATAAAATGTAGCTTTCTGACCTGACAGTATAGGCTGAATACCATTTAAGAAAACAGAGATGGCAAGCAGGGGAGTCAAATCAGAAACTGCTTCTATAACCTCTTTATCGGTTGTAAAGAGTTTGCTTAACCCAACTCGGAAAATCAAAACTATCGCACTGAAAATTATACTAATTACAATGCTAGTGCCATTTACCACCATCACTGACAATTTCGCTACCTTCGGATGACCTGCCCCTAGTTCATTACCAACCCGAACGCTGCGATTCAACCCAAATATTCATCGGTATAGATATGATAATATGTATTTTCTTCGTATTTAATGCCGAGAAGTAGCTCAAGGTAATGAAAACAAAATAAATAGGTTCAACTGCATGATAATATCCCTTGATTATATGTCAATCCAAGTGTTTAAGTTCTTGGCAAACCTGGTAGATGCGCTCAGGCCTAGCATGAATTGCATGTCCCAGTTCAAGTAGTTCATGCTGAAGATGTTTCAATTTCAAGTTAGAACCTGGAAAAAAACAATGGCATTGGGCAAGTGGGAAATGGAGATACTAGCTTTTGGCATACCATATAGAAATGGAGTCTAGTGATACTGTTGGATCAGGGAGGAGTCCTGATACAAGTACCAGTCCTTGGCTGTACCATATCTCCAAACTGCATTATTAATTTAAGGTATAAAATATTATATAATAATCAGAATGTAGAACTCGGTACAAAACCATTAAGTGCCGTAAATCTTTTTTATACCAAAGCATGACAGCAGACGAGACTGTAAGCTTAAAATAAGGCCAAATTCCTGTGAAGGCACTGACAGATAAGCCAGTCCAGGTTTCCTTGCAAGATGGGCTCAGGACAATGTAAAGTCCATTTAAGATGACGAATAACCACCAAGAGAAGCTCAGTGTTAGAGCTACTCCCAAGAGACCATATTCCAGTACATAAACAACAATCCATGAGAGAAGGATGTGGACTAGGAATACCGCAACAGACATGTATGCTAGAGGGTTTACTATGTTCTGAGCTTGGAGAAACCTCTGCATAGGGCAGCTTAATGCAAATGCATATAGCTGAGGTATCAGGCCACGAGCGAAAATTTCGCCCTGCTCAGCTATGCTCTCTGTTTGCCCAATAGCTATCAGAACTGGCCCTGAAAACCAGTATAGGAATGTGAGGAGGAAAGCTGCTCCCAGGTGCAAAATAATTGCTCTTTGGCATATGATGCCCATTGATGAGTACTTTTTGGCTCCATATGCTTGGCCACAGACAGTTTGCACCGCACTGGCCATGCCGAGCTGTTGTTTATTATCAAATAATCACAAAGTTAGAAGATTATAAAGCATGATAACAGCTTGTAGAACAAATTAAAAGTAGCAATCAGGCTTTTAGTTTGCTCTTAGTTAATTCAGCATGATATGAAGCTAACGTCCAAGCGACAGAAACAATCAGTAGGTTCAAAGGGACACTTCAACGATTAGATTTGAGATTTTCATTTGAAGGTCTCAAGTTGAAACCCTGTAAATCGGACAAGACTACCAACATTTTGTAACTCGGGGGCTATGCCTCCTACTGAAACAGGGAAAAAAGCAATTGACAGAAAGAAATTATAAAGACGTACCATTATGCCATAAGCAAGACCCTGAATTCCTACATTGGCAATAGATGCCCCGGCAAGCTCTAATGCACCCAAATGCCCTGAAAACATCTGGGTCACGAAACTAAGCATGAAGGTGGCCACGGAAACAATAATAGATGAGCCAGATAGGATCCAAAGGAGCCTTGATTCCCATGCAACTAGACGTGGCCACCATCGGACAGCCACAGGCCCGTGCTCCAAGAATTCTTCAATTGTAACAGAAGACAAATCTCGAATACGTGAGTGAGAGTCAAGTTCTAGTAGCGGTGTTTGATACTCTGATTCTTCGCCCATGGTTATTTCTGTGAGCACTACAAGCTAGGTGCTTGTCGAAGAAGGGTTTGTCAGTTCATCATATATAAATGTCTAGCAGGTTTAATTATATAATGAGATAGAAGATAAATTAAGGATCATTCTAACAGTGAAGGCAGACATGCTTGTAGAAGAGTAGCTAAGGCTAACTCATTTCAAGCATGGTAACTGATTTTTCATGGACCTGCGGCGTGGTTGGTCAAAGCACGTGCACCTAATCTTTATTCTACATAAGTGGTTAAGGCCAGAAGTATCTCATATATCAACCCTTCACCACCTGACGGTCCTAGATTTAATTAGCATACACCTGTATTTCTGGGCATCATTTCGCATGTTAAGGCAAATTTTACTAGTTGGCGACCCCATCAATGAAGCCTTCTCGTCATTCTGCTTACTCTTGAAAAGGAGATAACAAGGATGAGCAATTGCTATATGTTTCCCGAAAGGAGATTCTAAAAAGTCTTTGATCGCTCTTTATGCACTTGCTATTTTGGTGAAGAACACGTCAGCCGACACGAAGTAGAGTCGAGCATGCATGTTCCTCCTCTTTTATGTTGTGGAGCTTTCCTTTCAGCGTTTCTCTTCCTCATTTTAATGGACTTGGGTGACTCGCTACACCACCCTCGATTCCTACTAAAACTAGTAACAATTTACAAGGTAGAACAACCCTAAACTTCCCCTTTAGTTAATTGGAGAGAGATTTTCTTCCACGAAAGGTGTGGCCCGTTCCCTTTCGTTGAAGCATACAAGAATTAAACCCACCACACCAGAAAGAAAAGACGAGCAAAATTTGCACATAAGCAGTTAAGAAACCCTATCCAGTAGCATGATCTCAAGCTTTTCAACGGAGTCAGATTCTGGTGTGGAAGACTTGCCTAATAGGTTAATACCACACGCATGCAAGATATTATGACATCCAGCGAGATTTTTCTTCTTAAAAAAGAGTATCAAGTAAATAGAAAATGGACCAAATTATTTCAAATAGAAAATGCCATGCATCCTCAGACAAGAGAGTTTGATATCGCTAAAAAGAAAGATAAACCTGAATTGAGGTGGAGTTACTCGCAATATACACGAATCATGAATTGAAATAAAAAGGCTGACCAAGCTCAGTATTTTAAGATAACGAGGGGTAATGATAAGCCAAAACTAGAAGAATCTGTCACGTGAAACTACCCACCTTTATATTATTAGGATTCTGTTATATTGTTATAATTATCTAGCTCTAATTGCTTTACAGTTATATCAGTTATCATTACAGACTATATAATTTACTCTCTGGCCTCTAATAATAAGAAGAGAACAAAGATTCATTTTTTCAAAACTTATCTTGGTATTACAGTTCTTGATTAAAGATCCAATCATGGCTTCTACTTCTACTCAATCTTCTTTATTCTTTAGCCTTTGAACCGGTTAAATCTGGACAAAGCACAACAATAATATCCATTCCTTTCTATCAAATGCTTAACCACACGCCGCCTGTGAAATTTGATCGAACTAATTACATTTTGTGGAGATCTTAAATTGACAATGTTGTTTTTGCTAATGGTTTTGAGAATTTCATATATGAAACCTCTATTTATTCAGAGATAGAGCTAAATCTAGAAGTGCTTATCCCTGCATTTATTGTTTAGAGAAGACAAGATTGCACAATTCTTGGCTGGATCTACTAGTCTCTCACTCTAGCAATCATGGCAAAAATCATAAGCCATAATTCTTCTCATTCTGCTTGGAATGTATTGGAGAAAACCTTCTCGCCATCTTCAAGAGCTAAAATAATACAACTAAAGCTCGAGTTACAGTCCACGAAGAAAGGATTTCTGGCTATGATAAACTACATTATAAAAGCCAAAGAAGCAGCAGATAGTCAAGCAACTATTAGAGAACCTGTCTCATAACAAGATCAAGTTATGAATCTCCTTAAAGTCCTAGTATCAGACTATAATGTAGTTGTTACAGCTATTAACATAAGAGATGATAAGATCTATATTGAAGTTGTTCACAGAATGCTTCTAGCTTTCAAGCATCGCCTTAAGCAACAAAGCTCGATTGAACACATCTCCACTATATATGTCAATTATACCTCCTCCTCTAATAACAAAGGTGGTGGAAAAACATATAATAACAGTAAAGGACAAAACTATATTTCCAATATCAGTAACCACACCTACAAAGGTCATGGTCGAGGAGGTAGTTATAGACAGAATGGAAGGCATAATTCAACCAACTCTGAGAAGCCACAATGTCAGTGATGTGGCAAATTTGGTCATACAATTCAAGTCTGGTACCATAGATTTGATATCTCCTATCAAAACTCTTAAAACACTGTTACTACTTCTTCGAATGCTGGTAATCAAAACTTTATTCTTGTTATGGTTGCCTTCTCTAATAATCTTACATATGACACTTGCTATCTTAATTCTGGTGCAAATCATCTTTTGACTTAGAATGTGAAAATCGAACAAGTTATACACCTAAAATGGAGACGGATAAGGTCAAAATTAGTAATGGTAAGCACCTATCCATTTCCAACACTGGTTCTTAACGTTTAGTCTCTAGTTCATATACTAACTCAAAAGGATGTTTCACATTCTATTTATCTCAGCAAACATAATCGATATTGCTAAGTTCAGCTCAAACAATAATGTCTTAATTGAGTTTCAATCCAAAAGTTTCTATGTGAAGGATCTACATACGAAGATCCAAAAGTTTCTATGTGAAGGATCTACATACGAAGAAGGTGTTTGCTCGAGGCAGACTTAAGAATGGCCTTTCCAGGTTTCCATTATTGAACAACAAGAAATTGGTAGTGGTCTTCTGCTTTTCTTTCTCATACTTTTTATCCTGTTGATAATAAAGTGAAGTTATGGCATCACAGACTAGGTCATGCTGTTACTAACAGTGTAACCCGAATAATGCAAAGTTCTGATATTTCTTGCGAAAAGAATAAAGCTATTGTTTTCTTTACTATTTGCTCTTCATGTCAACTTGCTAAAATTCATAGCTTATCTACTCATCTTTCATTTTCCCGTACATCTAAACCTTTGGAACTTGTTCACACTGACATCTAAGGACCTGCCTCTTTCAAAGCTATATCTAGTGCTAATTATTTCATATTATTTCTAGATGACTATTCCAGACACACATGGTTTTATCATCTACAAATAAAAGATCAAGTTTTTCATATCTTCAAATAGTTCAAACTTCAAGTCAAGAATCAATTTGATGCTAGAATCAAATGTATACAGTGATAATGATGGTGAGTCCAGATCCTTTATGACTTCATAGCTTAGAATGGGAAAGTTGAGAAGAAGCACAAGCACGTTGTTGAATCTGGATTAGCCTTGTTAGCTCATGCCTTCTTACCAATGAAATTCTAAAAATATACCTTCCAAACAGCAACTTTTCTTATAAACAGAATGTCTAGTCAGGTACTCAACCATGACTCACCCTATTTCATCCTTTTCAAAAAAAATCCTGATTACTTCGGTTGCTTGTATTACCAATTCTTTCTTCCTTACAACAATCATAAGTTGTAGTATGGATCTGTTTAGTGTATTTTTCTTGGCTATAGTTTCAATCATGAAGGATATTTGTGCCTTGATTTTCTAACTGGGCGGGTCTCTATTACTCCTCATGTTGTCTTTAATGAAATACAATTTCCCCTCACTAAAAATTTTGCTCCAACCAATGACACCTCAGTAACAATTTTCCCTCCTGCAATTATAACCTCCTTTACTTCTTCACCTTTCTAGTCTACTGGTAACCATGGATCACCGCCATCCTCTTTTACTTTCACGAGTGACAATTCCCATTGAGTATTTCTGGGACTACTCCTGCTTCCAGCACCCTACCTAAATCATTTCATGAGGCTCTAACTTTCTCTTATCCTCCAGCTCCACGCATGACAACAACATTGATGCATTGTATAACCAAGAAAAAGCCAATTTTTGATCTCTTTGCTATAAAGGTCTCAAAATCATGCACTCAAACAAGCCCTCCAAGATCCAAATTGGACTCAAGCTATGGATCTAAAGATTGCTACTCTTCATCGCAATCATTCTTGGGGTCTTGTTGAACAACCTTCAGTTGTCAACATAATAAGTTGTAAGTTGATGCATAAGCTGAAACACAAGCCACATGAGTATAGAAAGGTATAAAATCAGGCTTATGACTAAAGGGTATAACCATACTCCTTGCCTTGATTATTTTGAGACCTTTAGTCCAATTGTTAAAGCTGCAATTATTCAAATAATATAGCTATTGCTCTCAGTTTTAAGTGGGAACTACAACAGCTTGATGTTCATAATGTTTTTCTAATTGATGAACTAGAATAGCAAGTATAAATGACTCAACCTCCTGGATATGTAGACACGAAATTCATAACCAAAGTGTGTAGATTAAAAAAGACACTAAATTCCTAACCAAAATGTGTAGATTAAAAAAAGCTTTATATGGCCTAAAACAAGCACCATGTGCTTGGTTTCAACACCTCAATTCTACTCTTCTACGATGAGGATTTAGCAACCCTAGAACTGATAGTTCTATGTTTATATACTTTGGTGAATCCAAAACCCTGATTATTCTTGTCCATGTTGATGATATAATCATCACCGGCAGTTAATCAACACAGATTTCTTCACTCATTGCTAAGCTTGATTCTGTTTTTGCCTGAAGAGATTTGGGTCAGCTATCTTACTTCCTAAGTATAAAGATCTCTTACCATAAAGGTTTTATGAATTTAAGCCAAACCAAATATGTTTCTGAGCTGCTGCATAAAACTATAATGTTTGATACCAAACCAGGAAAAACACCTGGTGTTGAGTAGAATTTGTCAAAGTTTGATGGCGATCCTATGGAAGAGGAGAGGTTACTCAACATCGAATAGTAAAGGCACTTCAGTATCTTACCATAACTAGACCTGACATAGTTTTTGTTGTTAACAAGGTGTGCAAATTCACACGACCGCCAAACTCTGCTCATTGGCTTTTTGATAAAAGAATTCTTCGGTATCTAAAAGGCACCATGCATGATGGGTTATTGTTAAGTCCTTCCAGCCACTTAACAATAGAAGGATTCACCAATCCAGATTGAAATGCTCAACCTGATAA